GAGAGTGGCATGGACATATACACACTACCAAATGTAAAATAGATAGCTAGTGGGAAGCAGCCGCATAGCACAGGGAGATCAGCTCGGTGCTTGTGACCACCTAGAGGGGTGGGATAGGGACGGGGGGAGGGAGATGCAAGAGGAAGGAGATATGGGGATATATGTATATGTATAGCTGATTCACTTTGTTATAAAGCAGAAACTAACACACCATTGTAAAGCAATTATACTCCAATAAAGATGTTAAAAAAATTTTTTTAAAAGATGAATAGGCAGAACACAGAGGATTTCTAGGGCAGTGAAAATACTCTGCATGATATTATAATGATGGATTAATATTTACCCAAACCCATAGAATGTACAACACCAAGAATGACCCCTAAGGTAAACTATGGACTTTGGATGCTCATGATGTATCAATAATATATAGGTTGATTCTTGGTAAAACTTGTACCACTCTGGGGAGTGATGTTGATAATGGGGGAGACTATGCATGTGTGGGAGCAGAGTGTATATGGGAAATCTCTTTGCCTCTCAATTTTGTTGTAAACCTAAAACTGTTCTAAAAAATGAAGACATAACAAATTATTATCTATCTCTGTATCTATCTGTTTACTCATGTATATATCTCTATTTTTATATAAACTTAATCTTAAAGGCAAATTATAGTAAAGAAATCTTTGTACTAAGTACATGATATAAATTTTTTTATTAAATGCAAATATCATTTAAATGGTTTTAAAAAATGTGCTAACTATAGTGTGATTCCAAATTAGACCTTTTATTTCATTTATTCATCCATCCATACACCTACTAATTTCCGACAGCATGTAAGCATAAGTAAAAATTTACAATTTTGTTATGAAATGTAAATACCATCATTTTAGGGTGGCCGAACTTGAGGAAATATTAAAAATATTTTTTGTATTTTTCTTATCCTCTTCATAGTGAGTTTTAGCCATTCAAAAATTATATTTTTTTTAACGACTGGAAAAAAACCCCAGAAAACTTGTACCTACATTATATTTACTCAATTAATGTTAGATAATTGAATGTGTATTGTAAACATACTTAATATTCATACCCTTATATTACAGAATTACCTTTTTTAGAAATCTAATGAGTTGACCATGTGAAAATTAGTAGATATTAGTTTCATGTTTTTTGGCTTTCCAAAAAACTCCAAATTATCAGATTAATGTGGTGTGGTAGATTGATTACACTGCTGGCTCCTCTACTTCACCCCATGCTGTATCCATGCCCTTTGTCATATGGTGATACTGTTCTTTACCCAAAACAATAACCAAAAAAAGGGAAATATATTTTCCTGCTCCTTAATTTTGAATTAATCCTTGAGACCTGTTTTAGCTCATAAGATATTAGCCCATGTAAGGTAAACAGATGTTCAAAAACACCTTCCTGATTGGGTTTGTCCACTCTTGTTTTCCTGTGGTTACGATGAAAACTTGTACCTCCTAATCTGCAGGACAATGAGAGTATGTGACAAGGTCCTGAGTTCCCCTAGTCATTCCAGCAAGAATGCCTTAGTCAGCCATGCTAGAGGTTCTCCCCAAAAGCAAACAAGCCCGTTCAGTCAACCAAGCTGCCTAGATGACCCATAGTTGGCAACAGATATATGAGTGAGCCCAGCTTGATCAATTAAGCCCAGACTAATGAGACTTATGAGTTAACACATGTTTAGTACTACTGAGAGTTTGTAGTCTTTTATCATGCAGCTTTATTGCAGTAGCAGATATCTGATACATATCACATATTGCTAAGTGTTCTGCATTTAAGTTATAAAATCATATTATCTTGTAAATCTTCTCTGAAATCATGTGTGTAATAAATTGACATTAACTCATTGCTTTGAAAGGACCACTTTTCTTTGTCAGGCATATTTTTCTTCAATCTGAAATCTATCCAGGTGTGTGTCTGTCTAACTTTCTTTCTACCCATTTTTTTCTCTCTCACACACAAGAAACTAATGCAGAATTTAAATCACAGTTTTCTCTGCAACTTGACTTTTCTTGCACTTTCTCTTTAAGAAACTTATGTAGAGATTTAGACACTTGAAAAAGAAATAGAAGTTATATTCTTCAGTTTCTCTAAGAAAGTAAAAGTATATATAGACATACATTTAGTGAAAGCTTTGTGTTCTTTTCATTTTATAATGCTATAAATAAAGAAAAAACAATGTTTTACCCAGTTCTGAAATGTGCAAGATTTAGTATGGCAGAAGGCATTTTATTGCTTGTGGTGGTTTTCTTAAGTATTCTATGTTAGCTCTAACAGCTACAGCTTGATAATTGTGAATATAATACCTACATTTACCCTAAGCATTAGTCATATAACATTCTATCTGAAAATATTTTTACAACATATTAATTTTTTTATAATACGTCTTCACAGAAGTGTGATCATATAGTTTTAATCTGTGAAAATTAGGTCATAAAGCTGCTATGATAAATGTATTAAATATATGTTTTAACATTTATTAAATATATATTATACAGGTAACAACAGATAAATGTCATTTCCCCAATTTTAAATAAACTACATAATCTTATTTCTAAAATTGCCTTTATCTTTTTGCTTTGTTATAGAAACAGATCCCTTCTCATGCTTTAGTTTCTATATCTTGAAGGAAAAAGATCCCTTTTGCAGCAATATAACAGTGATTGTAATAGCGTTCATTTGTAACCACTATGGACCATTGTTTTGGAGACCTGCACCTATTACACAACATTTTTGTTGCATTTCATATTATTTTGAATCAACTACTAAGACTCTCTGTAACAATAAACGATTTCTATATAACTTTTGAAGTGAATCTAATTTAAATATATAAATATATATAATATAAATATATTATTTTAATAAAATTTAAAACAAATAAAAAGGATCAGTCTGAATCTTAATTCAGAGACCTGACTCCTAAATTTTCAACTGTAAGGGTATGAAGAATTTCTGTAACTCTAATATTTCCTTATTATGCAGAAGAATCAACTGACTTTACAAAATACCTGTCTACTTTGCATCTTAGATTTCCATGTAGTCAGTTATATTTCTTTTAAACAAACAGAGGAATTAGCATGTAAAGAATATAAGTAGGTAGGTGGTAACATGCACCACAAAATATATGCACTTGTAGAGTACAATAATATGACTTTGGATTCTCTTGCCCAAACTTTTCTATTTATACTGTCTTCAGGATATCTGAATTCACTCTGATCTGCCCAGCTGTGTCTCTTATCCCTCCTAAGAGATTTTTGGATCTCAGAAAGGTATCCTCATTGAACAGAGGCAAAAAATTCTCTAACATAAATTGTATCAATGTTTTCTTAGGTCAGTCTCCCAAGGCAATAGAATGAAAGCAAAAATAATCAAATGGAACCTAATTAAACTTATAAGCTTTTGCACAGCAAAGAAAACCATTAACAGAACGAAAAGACAACCTATGGCCTGGGAGAAAATATTTGCAAATCATGCAACCAATAAGGGCTTAATTTCCAAAATATACAAATAACTCATACAACTCAGTAACAAAAAACCCAAACAACCCAATCAAAAAATGGGCAGAAGATCTAAATAGACATTTCTCCAAAGAAGACATACAGATGGCAATAGGCACACAAAAAGATGCTCAAAACATCACTGATTATTACAGCAATGCAAATCAAAACTACAATGAGGTACCACCTCTCACTGGTCAGAATCGCCATCATTACAAAGTCTACAAATAACAAATGCTGGGGGGAGTGTGGAGAAAAGGGAACACTCCTACACTGTTGGTGGGAATGTAAATTGGTACAACCACTGTGGAGAACAGTATGGAGCTTCCTTAAAAAACTAAAACTAGATTTGTCATATGATCCAGCAATCCTTCTCCTGGGCATATATCTGGACAAAAACCATAATTCGAAAGGGTACATGCACCCCTATGTTCATAGCAGCACTATTCACAATAGCCAAGACATGAAAACAACTTAAATGTCCATCTACAGATGAATGGATAAAGAAGATGTGGTATATATATATATTATATATATATGCACACACACATATATATAGACATATGTACACATACACACACACACAATGGAATACTACTCAGCTATAAAAAAGAATGAAATAATGCCATCTGCAGCAACATGGATGGACCTAAAGATTATCACACTAAGTGAAGTAAGTCAGCAAGAGAAAGACAAATATCATATGATATCACTTATATGTGGAATCTAATATATGACACGAACATATCTACAAAAGAGAAACAGACTTACAGACACAGAAAACAGACTTGTGATTGCCAAGGGGGAGGAGAAGTTGGGGAGGGATGGATTGGGAGTTTGGGATTAGCAGATGCAAACTATTATATATAGAATAGATGAACAACAAGGTCCTACTATATAGCACAGGGAACTATATTCAATATCCTGTAATAAACCATAATGGAAAAGAATATGAAAAAGAACATGTATAATTGAATCACTTTGCTTTACAGCTGAAATTAACACACTGTAAATCAACTATACCTCAATAAAATAAATTTTTTAAAAATCCTCATCTACTGCAGTGGAATTCCAAATATTGTGGAACATGCTGTGAAAGATGCAGTGGTTAAAGTAGGTTTTCTGTGCCAATACCTGTACCATTTCGCTAATTTTTAGAACTAGTACTATGTATTTTGTATTTTACAATCACAATTAAGGTAACTATTTATAGATTGTATATGATACACAGAGATTCAGTATACCTCTAAACTTTGTTTAGGGGAGAGTCCCAGACTCATTTTTTGGAATGAGTAGGGAGTTGTTCTGCTATGATTTCTTAACACAAAGCTTTACCAGCTTCTTTCTGATGTTCTTTTTACTCTGTCTTAATTTATTTAATTGAGAGATCAGTTCTTTTAAAACAAAATTTACAGTCATTTAAATACTCTTTGAAGATACTTGCAAATATTTCCTGACTGTCCTATTTTCCCTCTGTTTTCACAGGTTGGAAAGTATATCTAAGAAAACAATTGAGGTAATTTGCGTTTCCTTATTACAAACAACATGATGTGGTTATGGGCTGAACTGCGTCCCTCAAAATTCAAGTGTTGAAGCCATAACCTCCATTACCTCAGAAAACGATTGTATTTAGAAATAGGGACTTTAAAGAGGTGATTAAGTTAAATGAGGTCATTAGGGTGGCCCTATTCCAATCTGACTGGTGTCTTTGTAAGAAGAAATTAGAACACACAGAGATTCCAGGGATATCCTTGTACAGAAGAGAGGCCATGTGAGGACACAGGGAAGGCAGCCATCTACAAGTCAAGAACAGAGGGCTCAGAAACCATAACTGCTGACACCTTCATCTTTGACTTCTCGTGTCCAGAACTGTGAGAAAACAAATTTCTGCTGTTTAAGCCACTCAGTCTGTGGTACTTTGTTATGACAGTTCTAACAAACTCAGACAGATATATTTTTCCTTTAAATACAGGAACTATGACTACAAATTCATGGTAACTTTGTAGCTAAAATTCCAAGTTTCTCCATCCCTAAGAGGATCTTACTAGAATTTTAACATGTAGGATTGAATTGAATTAATTCTTATACTCTCATCATAATCAGTTCTTCCATAGTGGGGGACTGTTGGTCAGATCAAGTCCTAAAGATAAATGTTTCTTTAGCAATGGTGAATATTTTATCCCTTTTTTATTAAGATTTTTTTCAATATCTCACAAGAACATCACCATTGTTGTTCTAGATATTATATTCAGGATATTGTATTTTTTTTAAGCAAAATGATAAAGAATATTGCCAAACACAATAAAATGTGAAGAGTACTTGAATTGCATTATAAGTGATAAAATAAAAATATGGCAAGTGTTTAGTTATGGCCAATATTTAAAAATGTAACTCAGGTCCTAAATACTTCATATTATTCCCAGTAAAAATGCATGGTCTAAACATTTGCTTCAGGTAAAATATAATTTTCTACATCAAATCATTTCTTTTAAGAAACACTGTCCCATTTTAGTATTAAAATTTCAGAATAAAATTTGTGGAGATTGTTATAATGTTTTGTAGCAACTTCCATGACTTCTATAGATTTTTTTTAAAACTCAGAAGGGTAAAGAAATTGAAGCATTTTTATTAATTGCTTCTGGTTAATCAGGAAAATTCAACACGTTTTATTTCACATTTTTGTCTATTCTTAACGGCATAGGAATTGTGGCTGCAAATTTTCTTACTTGAGAGTTTTAGTAGTTTTCATCTATATAGTAAGTTGCCTGTCCTTTGTTGAAACTGATTCTGTGCAGAAAAAAACTTTATTCTTCTGGATTTGCAATGGTGGTAAATGACAAAAATTACCCTGTAGATTAATGCACTTTTAAATACTCTAACTTGAATCATAAAACACTTAACTCTAAAAGGCACTTCAGAAGTTGGCTATTAAATTATTTGTCCTCTGAATAAGATGCCATATGTATTAGAAGCAGATGGATTTCTAACCTGTACTTATTCTTCAGTTTGTTTAATTTCTCCTTAGACATTAAACCAAAACAATCTACCATTCTAGATACTCACAATCCTCCCAGTCAAGGGTCATTCTTAGGATTAACCTTTTCAATTGGACAAAGATTTCTTTTTGTTTGGTTATATTTAACTGACTGATGACAATTCTAATTTCAAGTGATAATTTGGCCAAATCCTTTCTTTTTCCTCACGTGTGTTTCCTTGGTTTCTGCAACAAGTTTTCTTATTGGTCAAATTCACTCAAACAGTATCCAGATAATTACAGAGGTTTGAAGAATATGTTACCACACCATTATTTGACATCCAAATTGTGAAATATTTTGTCACATTTGCATCTCAACAAAGAGACATTTGTTATTGTTTGCTCTTGACAACCTAGATAGTGATTTCCATCTGAATGCGAGATTAGGCAGAGGCTTTTAAATATAATACTATTAGGTCAACTTCTATTTTAGCCAATTAGAATAGTCAGAAGAACATAGCTCCCCTCTGTGAACAAAATTAAAATAATTCGTGTTGTTCCCTTGTTGAGTAAAGTAGTGTTGCTCACCCAAAGTATTATGTTTAAAAGAATTATATAAGGATATCTGCAGTAATGTTTAGTAAGTACAAAATGGGGTACTTGCTTCTAAGAAATTGTTTAGTAAGTACAAAATGGGGTACTTTAAACCAGTAATATTGTTTTTAAATGAATAAATAAAATGTAGAATAAAATATGATACTTAAAAAAAGAAATTAGAACAATGGCATTAATTACATGATATGTCAGTAATGGTGTTACTGTGTTTACAAATTCTTATTTATGAAACAGTATTTACACACCAACAATCTTATTTCCCCCTAAAAGATCCCCACTTTTTCTTTGAATGTATCATTTTAAAAGTCCCATTCTTTAAACATGATAACTGAGCAGATTCAAACTTAATATTAGTACCTTCATTAGTTCACAATATGTGGATCCAAATATAATTTAGTGACTGAATGATCTTTCTTTTAAATAATGTCCAACACACGGCTGCCTCTCTTACTGTATTTAATTGCTTGGAGGTAGTTCCAAAAACTCTTATACAGAACTAAGAAAAATTTGAAAGCTATATGGTCCTGCCACATTGTAAAAGAAGGTTACAATAAGACAAAATTAAGTCGTGATACTGAAATTGTATAAAAGGCAAGATTTTTAGTTACATCCTTGAATAAGTGAATTTACCAGATCTATTGTGTGAGTTTACACTGAAAATGGATTATATTATAAACAGTCTAGTCAGGTTGGGTTGTTGGTACATTTTTCATCTCTTTTAGACTCCCTAAGTTGCTAATCCAATTATGTAGCTTCTGAAATTGACAGATATGAATGTAGCACAATTTAAACCTCATGGGCTTCGTCTTGTTAAGTGGCATTGATGGATAAGTAAACAATAATACTTTTACTCACTAGTTCATTTAAGTACCCTACATATACTTAAGTATCCTTAGCCACTGGTTTAGTTTCCTTAATATATTCTGAACTCATAAAGGCTAAATATTTCAATCAACTTCTTTCCGTGAGGAATAAATTCTACCTCATAACACTGTTCTATTCGAATTAGAATATTCTGACCAAACTAGTTTACTCTTTATTTCCACATGGACAAAAGTTTCCGTGTATTGTAGAATTTCAAATTGAGATTTAGAAATATCATTTACTCTTAACTTATGAGTAGAATTTTCAAATTGCCATGGACTACCACCTATGGCTATTCCTGTAATAATTTCAATATTTCACATATATTTTATTATGGTCTTTTACTTGTAAAACATCTCTGTCTTTGCATTGTAAACTAAAATATGGAAAAAGTTGTCCTGATGACTCAGTAAATAATTGTGTTTACCTATAATCTGTTGACAGTTCCTAGCTATTAAGTAAAACATACTATTCTTAGACATTAATTTAAATAAATTTAGTTTAGTCTCCTTTGTATGCTAGATTCACATTTCAAAGGTGAGTAAATTGTAAAATATTCAGAATACCTAATACAGATTTCACTACTGTGTTACCGCTACATTCTCCTTTTTGGGACAGGGTCCCCTCTGTCAGAAGTCCAGTCAGTTTTGACCAGAGGAGGTACTGACCCCTCTCTGACTCCCAGCACAAAGCTTAAAACACCACCCACAGCAAACAAGATCTTACAGTGAGGATAGAATGTCACTAACCTTTTTGCTCTGTTCATAATTATGCCATCTATATGAATTCCTTAGTTTACTGAGGCCACTCTGATTACTACCTGTCCCTCTCACTCAGTTTCTTAGATTGCATTTGAATCTTTTTACATCCTCCAGCTTTGCCTTTTGACTTTCCCCTGTTGCATATTAGGAATCCTTCTGAAATGGGTTCTTTGATTAACTGTACTATCAATAAGGAAAGGACATTTTCTCACCAGCCCCACTTAAAAAATCTTAGGGAGGAATTTGTATTAATATGGCTTGGATTATCTTTATATCTTTGGCCTAAAAATATTATAGATACTGATTGGTAAGGCAGAGAGAGCCCCCTCACCCCCCATGGTCAAGGTGCTGAAATAAGCAGCCCCACCTCAAACTTCTGGAAGGAGTCAGGGAGGACAAATTGTTCAAGGAAAGGGAGCTTACTTAAGAAGTATAAATTAAATGGAGTTGGAGAGACCAAAACATACCTATTTGCTACAGTATTCATCTATAATTTTTATGTTCAAAAGTTATTAAAAACAATGACTGATGTCACTTTAAAGATGAACATCCTTCTTAAATATATATAATTTACATAATTTCTAAAACATATCCAGTTAATTAAGGGAAGAAGCTGTTATATATTTGGTGACAGTATTAGATGGTACTTAAATATGTGTGTCCTTTTAAATGTCATTTTCTTCTAAAATTAATATAGCTTACTTTTTCATAGATTAAAATTATAGTTTAGTTTTATGTGGGTATTAATAAGCACTAAGAACTGTGCTATTCATTTTATATGCATCATGTAACCATAACAGCAAATTATGAGCACGTTAAATAGACACTGACATCTATTTTTAAAATGTATCCAATAAAATATAAACACCCTAGCAATTTGATGCCAATCATCATACATTTAAAAATAAACAAAATTTTTATTAATAGTTGATGATGGTATGTTTTAATTTTCTCCTTAAGTCATGTTTCCATTTTTTCCTCACAGAATTTTATTCTACTCTACTATATCTGATTGAAAGTCTTATCAACCACCATACTTTTCTGAAACACAAAAACATACCTAAATTACAGTTCATATCTAATTTCAGTAAAACAAAATGTTCCTACCGGATTTAACTTTATAATGATTATGAGTATGTAATCATTCAAACATGTATACGTATATTACAAATTTGTATAAATGGTTATTTAACACAAGGGGTACAAATTTTATTCTAACTGCACCTCTTAGTGAGAATAAATGGCGACAGATATGGTGCCTTAATCAAAGGAGGCATCTGTATTTCCCAATGTCTCTTTTAATGACCTAAAGTTTTTGCACCCAGAGTCAATGCAAGGGAGTTAAGATTCCATGTGGGTGAGGGGTGTGAATTTCTCTCCCAAAGAGTAAGAAAGGATATTGTGAAATAGGAGATAAGAAAGAACCCATAGGGGGGCCTTAATCACAGGCATTTTCTCAGCCAGGTCACTTTTAGGAAAGAGTACTTCAGGGGATCAGCATCAGGAAATTGCTTTCTCTGCAACAATTCCTGGCTGAGTTTCCCTTGGAATAACTGCATGTTTCCCTAGGTTTACCCCATGTGTAGACTGCTGTTATAATCATATCAATTTGTCAGATGAGGAAACAGAGGTAGAGTTTAGGAAGATTTCCCAAAGC